TTTGTTATGCGATGACTCAGTACAAAAAATTACCACGACTTCTTGGCACCTGAGGTAACTTGTGTTAAACAGAGAGACATCAGATACCATCGTTTTCTTCTCTCCTGGCGAGTTTTCATTAGCTATCGTTAACCTTCGCCCTGCTGACGTAGCCTTTAGGCACCTAATTTGCATTAGTTACAGGCTTATGTTACAGGGAGAAGGTTAAGAATTCCTTATTTATTTTGATACGGACAGCCAACTACCTGACCCAATCTTCGAGTTCAGGGTCGTCTTTTATACATGGCTGGGAACTTATTACGGGCTGCAAGTTTTAATCACTAGTCCTAATTATCTGCTTACAACTTGTCCACCAAAAAGTCTTAAAGGTGATTTAAGGGAATATTTGGACAGGGTTAACCATTTTCTTTGACAATCAACTGATACAGTCAAACTATGTAAGGGAAGGCACGAGAAGATAACAACTGTTAATTGCAGGAGCGGCCGCCATGACACTCAAGGTGTTTCCCATCCCTTATTCCAGAGGACCGATGGCTGCGCATGATACGAGTACATAGGATACTACTTTGTCAGATTATCATGAAAGTTCATCTGTGTTGGTAGTAATCATAGTAAAAAGTTGAGCTTTATCCCAACTCACAGTTTACAGAGAGATCCACTGTCGCCTTCATCAGGATAATTAATGACCAATCACTTTACAACATGATTTTGGGAGAGTTACGGTTTACAAACACGTGACCTTATTCACACGACACTGGTCGCTGAAAGTATTATCTCTCTGTTAACTGTGTTGGAATAAAGTTCAACTTTTTGCTATATATACTTTGTAAAATATTGCAAGATGAGCCTGACGCCTTAAACTTAAATTAGCCAGGATTTATATCTACGGCATGGAAATATATTACGAACGGAATTGTAAACGATTTGAGAATGGCAGCTAAACAATGTAGGCTCGTCGCTGTGCCTCCTGTCTTTTCTGAATGAAGTGTTCGTGCAGTACTCTTGCCTTGTAATGTGTCCCAGCCCGGGATCATGGGTTAGAAAATAGTAGCGGATATTTTATTTTCACAGATTGTAGACACACATTGTAAACAAACGGATCATAGTGGTAAACATGATAGTAGTAGGCATTCGTCGGTCTTAAAAGACCACGAAGTACTTCATTCTACACCCTATGCTTATTCTTAGTTTTGCGTAAACATGATAAAATGACAGTGAATAGAAGAGTGAATAGTAGCAAGACAGCACTTATGACCCTCGCTCTGCCGGAGGGTCGATCGTCGTTAAATCAGACACTGTACCAGCCCCACATGGCAAAGTCGGCAGGGGGCGTAGCACAGTTTGGCCTTATGGCTATCTTTGCGGACAATGCCAACTGTTTTAGAAGAATTACTTCCATTTTTTGATAGTATTAGATTCCTGTCAGACTTGAACCGTCCTGTAGCCTTGAGGGTAGCCTGGCAGATGGAACTTCACCCTTCTAAATGTACAGTGGTCAGTATTACACGTAAATTATCCCAGTTCAATACTCTTAGAGCTATGGAAATCTATGCTAAAACAATAGAAACAAGCACTTTAAAACACAGTTACCTTTATTTCAAACCTCAAGTCTTAACCCCTACTGGAAAGCTGGATTTGTCAGGTGTCTTTTGGTACAAATAGTGGAAGTTCAACTCCGTTGTTTTAATGAGCTACAGCTAAAATATTGAAATGATACCAGGATATCACCCCCTTTGGAAAGTGGGACAGTCCAAACAGATCACAAGTATTTTAATAGAGGTCAATGACAGGTCAAACCATGGAAAAGGTCACACTTTTTGGCCATATTTTAGAAATATACATTCTTCTGTCCTTCTTACCAGAAAACTAGGCCTTTCTGAGCAAAATTTGCCCAGGAAAAAATATTATCTAAAAAATAAGTATCAAAATATATCGGTGGCCCCTCCTCCCCTGTTGCCTCCCTCCTAAGGGTAAGTAAGTCTTTGGGAGCTCCCAACCTTTGGTCCGGTTTAACTTGGCACCTTCCAACTGTATGTGCACCGCTTCCTTAATCTTCCTATGTGGGTTATGAGACTCTCGAGGCCCAGATATGACCTTGACCACAAGTATGCGGTAACGTACACATACAGACAGAAACACAGACAGAAAGACAGGCGGAAAATAACTACATTTTCATGTAGGCAATAATATTCTAGCTTGTGTACGGAATGTCACTATAAGTATGGGGTATGTGACAGCCGAGAAGTCATCTTTGTGGAGGAGAGCCATCCCTAGCCTTCACCAGGAGAGTAATTTCCAAACGCTCCGCATATTATTAATGGAATAATAGTTTGGACAGCAAGTACATTGTGTAAAACCATTTTAGACAAGCTAGGAAGTCTCGTTCCTGTCAACTGCTTTCAAGCTGAAGTAAAAAAAAATATATATTATGACGAGCTGTAGCAATAACTATAACGAATAAAATGTAGGAAAGCTGAGAGTAAAACGTGAAGTTTCTACTATACTAGACTGGTGTAAACAAACTATTATCTGTTCAACCTTTTCACAAGGACGTTTAGCAAGCGTGTTTACGACGATTATGTAAATATTAATAACGTTAATTCTACGTAAGCCATCAATAAATGCAAACAATAAAACCCTAAAAAACGTTCGTGTAAAGAAATAGTCACCTTTGTAATGTTAAGTTAATTTCTTTTCAAAGCATATCTCGGTATCAAATGAAGTTTTCAGGGCCTTCTATGATTTGTCTCGACTGTTCAAAGTATCACGGGTTGTTCTGTGTTCGCAAGCCTCCCTCGCCTGTCGCCTAGCCAGACGTTTATAACGTGTTTTTGCTGTACAGACACCTGACAAGTGGCATCATGTCGGGAGGACAGCAGCATTCCCGGACTGATACTGGAGGTAGCGTTTGTTTTGCCTGATTTTCTATTCTATTCTATTTGAGAACGATGGAATGATGCTAATGATATACTATTTTTAAAGACCAGGCTTGTACTATATAAGCACCCAATAAATTCGGCTAACGCAAACTACCAGGCTTCATTCTATTCCTGACTACCGTGGTGGTAACATGGGCACAGGGCTGGCGATGACCAAGACTCTTCAAGACACTTTGGGTTTGAAACATATTGATAACAGATAAGGAATTCATGTACACCTGTACATACAAAAGTTAGCTTCATCTAACCCAGACATCTAAAGTACTGTAATGACAACACTGTCTTGCCAAGGTTTGCCTGGTAGTGTAATAGAGATTGGCCGGCAGTTACTTGTACATATCTAACAGAGCTCCTGAGTCTACATGTATACTGTTTTCTCATACTACCAACTTGACACCACAATTACAAGCCATATTTATAGACACAGTTACTGGTACTGTCAAAGCTAATTCAGCTGTGAGGTTGACATTTTACATGTAGACATCTACAATTAGACACTTTGATAAAGACTACAAGGTTGGTTTTACAGAAACTGAATGTTGCAGGTAATATTGTCTTAATAATTTGACTAAGTTTCAACTATCCTGATCATTTGCACGGTTTCATATTGTTACTTTAAAAACAGTGTAGAAATATATTCGAAGAAGTGACCGTTATGGTGCTAATCTGTACATGCTGTTTGTTTCTTGGGCAGTCTGATATGTTTATGTGTTTATGTATTTATTGGGGTCAACTCACTATTCAAGCTGCTGGAGAAGTCACAGTAGGGAGTAGTACTTTAGTACGTTGTTCTGGGCACCGAAGCCTCCAGGTTAAATGTTTTGTAGAACTGGTTTAAGGAGAAAGGCACTCGTTAAGGGGTTATAACTCAAGATCAGTGTAACTTTCAATTACTACGCAGATTTCTTAAGCCATGAGTAAGCCGTCCGGCAGTTTTATATAATATAGTTTTATCTGTTTATTTTTATTGATTAGATTAGAAGGCTAAAAAAAAGCTTGCTGTGTTTATTTCTCTTCTAATGACGACAAGATGCCTTCGGATTTCACAATAGCTGTTAAATAAAGAAAACAAGTAGCACAGAACAAAGAACAAAAGAAGAGTACGCTATGTCAATTTTCTATACATTTTCTGGAGACTGGCTGAGCTATTTTGATTATTTTATGAAAAAATTGAATGCCATAGGAATCATAAAAAGAGAAGACATCATTTAGGCGTATTAAATGTTGACAGATCTGGTTACTACAAAATACTACTATTCGTCATATTTAGCTGACATGTATATTTTCTCAGCTTGATTGATACATGAATTACTAGATTCTGACTTTATTGAAATTGCAACAATGCAATACACGCGGAACAGAGGCAGCTGTTGCTGGCGTTATGTCCAACACATAGAAACGAATACTGGGCAGACAATACTTATTTTCGCTTGAGTCCAGTGGGGAAAGTCGTGTTAAGTGCCTTTCCCGAGGGCACAAGATCGGCGGCATGTCAGGACTCGAACTCGGGACCTCTTGACTCGAGGTTGGCACGCTGCCGTTGTGCTACACGACCCAACCATTTACTAGATTCTAAAGTTTGATAGAGGAACTATTAGGTTTTATACGTAGACGGTTTTAATGATGATATAAATACCACACAGGCACCACGCCCATGCAGCAGCCCCAGACTGATTGGAGGTCACTTGCGGACGCAGGTGCGAATGTGCCCAACCCTTTGTACGTCTCTAAAGCAGGTAAACCATTTTATCTAACAGATCGACTTTTATACCTTTCTTAAAACCCTTGTCCTGCGGGACACACACACATATATATATATATGGGTTGCACATACAGTATCATTTATATAGTGCCCTGTGAATGTACGATTCGGGGGTGTTTCTCGTGCAACGCATCACACTGCAGCGAAACGCAACGAATTTAGAAGTAACTACGCCGCCGAAGGGCAAAAAAAGTCAAAGGGTCTGTGATTAAGACTTCAAATTAACTGAAAATATTGTGTAAAAAGTTCAGCAGGACAAGGGTTTAATGAAAAGAAAAAAGTGAAACATTTACTTTTGGCTTGTTGCCTCACTGGTTTTACTTTATACATGTATGTACACAGTACATCATGAATATTGTTTGGCATGCATATGTAACATCTGTGTCCATAATATCACCAGGGTCCATAATATCGCCACCTTGAGAAATAGTGTGCTTAAAGATATTTTTACTGCAAGATACCCTAGGTATGTACATTTGATGTGTGAAGGAGTGCATACCAAAAGTATGTTACAGTAAAAATATCTTAAAACACTGTTTCTCAAGGTGGTGATATTATGGACCCTGGTGATATTATGGACACAGACGTTATTACGCAACTAATGCAATTTCGAGAAGGCAAAACAAAAACCATTCTGAGTGAGGAAATCTGCATGGTAGTGACATTTACAACAGTTACTTTTCTTTGCGTACTTAAGTCATCATGTAAAACTTGCAGCATGCGGCCATGCCCCAAAACAACGTGAGACGTCTATTTACTATTTGTTTGGTACCGCCCATTTAACCTACGATACAAAAAAGCAGCCGTTTTACCTAAAACAGAATCCAAAATAATAAGGGAAAATCCATTTTATTCCCTTTTTTTCGACTTCAGAATTAGAAAATGAAGTTCCTAATTTAGCTAAATCGCAGTGATTTTGGCTGGTTATTAAGGAATCCCAGAAACTTATATCTAGATATTCAGGATATATTGAGTCA